CACCACCACCCGGATTTTGTTTTTATTTTTGTTTTGAGATGAAGGTCTGCCTGGCCTGGACCATACCTGGCCTTTCCTGTCATTCTATCCTGCCTTAAAAATTAAAAAACAAAGCAAAACCTAGCTCTCGGCACTGGAGAGATGGCTCAGTGATTACAAGCACTGACTGCTCTTCCAGAGGACCTGGGTTCAGTTCCCAGCACCCACAAGGTGCTTACAAATCATCCATAATTCCAGTTCAAGGGGTCTAATGCCCCTTATGACCTCACCAGCACCGTGCATATACATGGAAACAAAACACTTCTCCACATAAATAAACTTTTTAAATACACACACACACACACACACACACACACACACACACACACACACACACACAATCTTTGGCCATATTTAATGGTGCACACCTTTAATCCTAGCACTCAGGGGGCAGAGGCAGGTGGATGTTCTGCGTGCAAAGCCAGCCTGGTCTACAGAGCGAGTTCTAGGGCAGCCAGAGAAACCCTGTCTCAAAAAACCAAAACACAAAAACTAGAAATGGCATCAACGATAAACTTTCTGGTGTGTGTGTGTGTGTGTGTGTGTGTGTGTGTGTGTTTAAATGGGAAGACTTTTTTTTTTTTTTAAGATTTATTTATTATGTATACAATGTTCTGCCTGCGTGTACACCTACAGGCCAGAAGAGGGCACCAGATCTCATTACAGATGGTTATGAGAAACCATGTGGTTGCTGGGAATTGAACTCAGGACCTCTGGAAGAGCAGCCAGTGCTCTTAACCTCTGAGCCATCTCTCCAGCCCCTGGTGTGGGTTTTGTCACATCAAAAAGAAACCCGTGGAGGGGCAGGGCCGGAATCTTCCTGATTCTCAGCGACCCTGCCGACCCTGACCCTGCCGCAGACAGGCCTGCTCTTCAGTGTTCACAGGAGGGGGCTGCTGAGGCAGCCTGCGCCTCCCCCATCAGAGTCCAGTGTCCCTCCAAGACCAAGTCTTCCTCTAGAGCCCGAGAGACAGAGTCAGGGTCTGAGGAGCAGAGCTGGCCACAGCGGGTGTGTCTGGAGCACATTGTAAAATGAGTCCAAAGGACCACCCCTTGTTCAAAACGTATTAAGACATCAGGGTGTGCTCATCGTCAGTGCTAGCATGCCAGAGGTATGGACAGAAGGATCAGGAGTTCAAGGTCAGCCTCTGGTACATGGTAAGTTCGAGGCTGGCCTGAGTTACACGAGACCCTGTTTCAAAAATAAAAAGGTTTTTTGAAAAAGGCGGAGCTGAGCCTACACCAAGCTGAGGCCCTTTCCGGGGCAGGTCCTAACGCCTGTGCAGGCCAGCCTGCTGAAGGAGACTCGGCCAGGGACAGTTCTCAACTAATGCTGTGAAGAGAGAAGGCAGAGATGGGAAAGGGGTAGACTGAGACTCTTCTGTGACATTTTTGTTTAATATAATATATAGGAGACCATGTAGGGGAAAGGCTCGGGGTAGAACACTTGCTAGTGTGTACGAGGACCTGGATTCCAGGCCCAGTTGTGAAAAACAAGCAGATGTGAGTGTGGGAAAGGTGCACAGGGGGCTGGGGAGACGGCTCAGAGGTCTGTGGCACTGGCTGCTCTTCTAGGACCCAGGGTCAGTTCCCAACACCCACCACATAGTGGCTCACAAGCATCTGTAACTCAGGTTCCAGGGGATCTGACTCCCCCTTCTGACCTTCACAAACACCATACATGCACGCAGTACACTGATATACATGCAAGCAAACACTGATACATGTAAATCCAGAAAAAAATCTAAAAGTGCACAAATAATAAGAATACAGATCGCTAATTTGTGTACAGAATAGGCCAAGTGGTATACTCCTATAATCCCATATTTAAGAGGTTAATACAGGATCAAGAGTTCAAGACTAACCTGTGGTGTAGTAGTGAGAACTTGTCTCACAGTCCAACAGCAGGATCGGAGTGGGTGGTACGTGCCTTTAATTCAGAGGTCCAGGTGTCTGTGAGACCCAGGCCAGCCAGGGCTACACAGTGAGATCCAGGCCAGCCAGGGTTACACAGTGAGACCCAGGCCAGCCAGGGCTACCCAGCGAGACCCAGGCCAGCCAGGGCTACCCAGCGAGACCCAGGCCAGCCAGGGCTACCCAGCGAGACCCAGGCCAGCCAGGGCTACACAGTGAGATCCAGGCCAGCCAGGGCTACCCAGTGAGACCCAGGCCAGCCAGGGCTAAACAGTGAGATCCTGTCTCAAACAAACAAACAAACAATACAAACCCCACACTGAACAATAGAGAAAGAAGTAGGAAGTGTATAAACTGACGACATAACTGACCCAAGATGTGGTTAAGCGGAAGGTTTTTAATCGTAGATATGAGGAAGAGAACGGCCAGAGGCATCTGGAAGAGTCCAGAGCAGAGAGAGAAAGCAGTAGACTGAACATGGCTGGTAGACTGGACCTGACCATGAGAGGAGAGAGAGGGTAAGAGTGAGGGAGGAAGAAAAGAGAGGACCACCAGTGAGGAACAAGAGAGGGCACAGAGGGGACTAGGGAAGGAGACGGAGGACCATGCATGGTTGAAATAGCAGGGTTATAAGGAGAATGAGTAGCTGGGGTAGGGAACTCCTGGGGGGGGGGCAGGGAATCTAGAGTAAGGGAGGAGGTGAGAAGAACCAGGATGTCAGCATGGACTCTGTCATGTGTAGCAGGCACTGGTGACACAGAGCGGTCCTGGAGGCCATCGTGCACTTTGGTGGGCCAATAGGACCACAGGCAGCCATTTGTCCCTTCTGCGGTGATAAGGGAACTGGCTCCTTTGGTAGAGGGGAACCCGCTTCACAAGTTCCTGAGAAATGCTGGCTTTTATCTGACAGGCAGAAATTGGACCTGACCGGAAGGAAGTGGAGAGGGAAGAACGGAGAAAGGGAGGGAGGGAAGTGGGGGAGGGGGGGGGAGAGGAACAGAGGAGGCAAAGCCCCCAGAATCCTTTCCCTGCTCCCCACATGGCTACAGCAGCGTAGGTGGTCCTGGCCGTTCCTAAGCTTGGTATAAACAGGACGTGGGTGCCTGGGTGGGGTTTCTTTTTGTCCGGCTTTTCTCACTCTGTGAACTACAGCCCCGGCCTCTCACCCTGAGGCCCGCCACACCAATGTGGACGCAGATGGGGACCAGTCCCGGGCATTTACACAGCGCTGCCTGACGCCGACACTGCGGGGGAGCAGAAACCGTGTCAACTCCGAAAACCGGGTGTCCTTGAATGCTAGTGCAGTCCACCAGCGCTGTGATGCCCCGGGTCCTCTGCTGGGTACCAGCGCCAGCCAGCAGAGAGGCCTCAAGCAACACCCACGAGAATGTGTCATCGGGCGGGGGGTGGGGGGCTGGAGAGATGGCCCAGTGGTTAAGAGCACTGACTGCTCTTCCAGAGGTCCTGAGTTCAATTCCCAGCAATCACTTGGTGGCTCACAACCATCTGTAATGAGATCTGGCGCCCTCTTCTGGTGTGCAGGCAGACATGCAGATAGAATACTGTATACATAATAAATAAATAAATCTTTAAAAAGAATGTGTCATCAGCACAATTTGTAATAACCAGAAACTCCAAATCTTGGAATTATTGAAATATCCAGTCAGGAAATAAGTGACAGTGTATTCACAAATAAAAAGAGTTCCTTTTTCCCCGTGGACGCGTGACCCTCCTGTGTGGCCTGGCTGTGCGACCGACCCTGGGCGTGGGCACCCAATCAACTTGGTCTGGAGTGAAATGAAGAGGCGCCTGTCTTGGGAGCAGTTTTGAGGAACAAAGCGAAGAAAATTTTCCCCTCTAGTGCTGTGAGTGTGGATCGCTGCTGGCCAGAAGTCTGTCCCTGCCCTGGCAGAGGAATTTGCATATAGAAATAAGGACGACCATGGACTTTGCATAGAGAAATGAGCCTCGGCCCCTCCATGACCTCAGAGGAAAGAAGAGCTAACGGGCGGCATGCCCTCCTCCCAGGACCACATCCTCTTCCTAGAATCCTCAGTGAGAAGGAAGGCCAGGCAAATTCCATGACAGGCTCCGAATAACTCAGTTAAAAACTAGGCCTCCGTTCCTGCCTCTTGAAACTGGACCACAGTCTCTGAGGATGCCATGAACAGAGGGTGAAAAATCATCGATGCCCCTGACATCGAGGATGAGGGGAACTGGCCGTGCCAGGCCTGAGCCAACCCCCACGGTATCTCAGGCGGTAACCAGTTCAGAACAGAGCCTGGGACTTGTTCAAATTTGCCCAAAAGGGGAAAACTATAGCCTTAGCCCACCCCTGCTAGCTCTAACCAATCAGGAATGAACTAATTGGATTGTCGCTCGCGTAAGCCAATCCTAGATAGGATGACCTCGCTGCCTGCCAGGTGGCTGCCAGGGTCCAGCTCCAGCGGGGTGCTGTGCCTCAATTCAGCGAAGAATGAAGAGTCTGATCACTGGTTGCCTTTCGAACTGACGGCCCCGACTAGCCCAGGCCGACTTTATTTATACGAGTTCTAAGGCATTCAAGCATGAGCAGTTTCAAGTCATTTCTCTTTATAATCATTTTCCAAGATCATTAACATTTGTTCACTTCAATTTTTCTTCTTCTTTCCCACTCCCTCGATGTCATTGACCTTTACCCCGTCTCGTTATAGTACAAACCAAATTCTATCCAGCCAGGCGCGTCTTGTTCACACTGTGCCCTGGCCGGCAGCAAACACATGGTTACGAAGTAAGAGACTGAAGCCCCGTGATTAACAACACGATACTTTCATATTTTGGTAATCAGCTGAGTGTATTGCCATGCCTAAGATATCATTTCCAGGTGTATGCTCTTTCCTCTCTGCACTTGGCTGAGGGGGCGGTGTGAGATGGCTCAGTGGGTAGAGCACTGTGATGCCTCAGGCAAAGGGTGAATGACAGGTTTAACTAGCACAAGTCATAAACCAGGCTTATAAGAATGTTGTCGAAAGTGAATTTTTTGTTTGTTTGTTTTATTGCTTGGACAGGGTCCCCACTAACCCAGGCTTGCTCGGTACTCTGCTGAGGACGACCTTGTGTTCCTGATCCTCCTGCCTTTCACATGTGGACTGCTGGGATTACCGGTGAGCACACTCTGCTCAGTTGACAGGATGCTGATCCAGGAACCCAGGGCTCACCTCAGCTGTCGCCTCCCTCATGCCCACCCTGCCTCCGGGGAGCTTCTTTTCTCCACCAGAGGGTCCGAGGAGCTGGAGTTGCAGGTGTGGCTTGGGACCTGGCAGGGGTCCCCCCAGCTCTGTTTTTTAGGGAGCATTTCCCTGCTGGAGCGGGCGCGGTTAAGGAGGAGCCCTCTATTCCCAGTCACGGGCCCCAGTGGCACCCCACTGTCTGCCTCACTGCTGTGGTGAGCCGCTCTGCCTCACCCTGGAGCCCTGTCTGAAACCTCCTTCTCTAATTCACCCCGTGACTTTGTCAGCCCGGCTCCTCCCGGTGGGATTAGTGGGAACCCAGTCCACTTCCAGCAACTGAAGCCCGCTGATTCCGGGCCACCGAGGTCACTTATCTCCTGAGATAAATGAAAGCCAGGGCAGGCCAGGCATGACTCAGCTTGTTATGAATTTCCTAATAATATGCGAATCAGGTGCCCCTTCTCTGGAAAGTACACAGAGTACACCTGGGCGCCCCGAAAGCCATGCTGCGTCTTCCGGAGCAGAAAGCGGGGCTCACGGGGGGCCTGGCTGACGTGAGGCTCACGTTTTGTTTTGTTTTGTTTTTGAAACAGGTCTCTAAAAGCCCAGGTTGGCCTCAAACTCAGAGTATAGCAGAAGATGGCCTTGAACTTCTGATTGTGGGGTCTCAGGCTGTCCAAACATCCAGAAATAAGCTCGGTCTGGACGACGGAAGGAAGGGGTTCTGGCGATTAGATAAAAGCCAGCATTCCTTGTGAAAACTGTTCCCATCTACGGGAGATTTCCCTGCACTTTGGCAGAAGGGACGGTGACTCTCCATGGACAGAACCTGTGGCTGTAGGTCAGAGCCCATGCCACCTCTAGGCTCCCGCAGTCTCTGTTCCCAAGTACTTGTTACACATTTCAAAGCCCCCTCCCCCAGTCTCCGGCCCTCCCCCCTTAGCTCCCCTCCTCTACCTAATAACTCACTGTTCAGTACCTAGTCCTGTGCTATTCTCTTATTCTCCCACGCTCCCTCACGATGGATGCCCCATTCTCTAGCTCCTTCTGTCTCGCCATCTCCGCTATTCTCTCCCGCTCTCCCGCTCTCCTAGCCCTGGCCAGGTCCAGTCCGCCAGCCATGTTCAGTCTGCTGCTTCTCTCTCTGCTCTGGGCTCTTCCAGATGCCTCCCTCCGGCTGTCCTCTCTCTCCTGTCCACGGCGCAAACCTTCGTTGTATCATGCTGGCCGTTTCTTCAGCCTGCATCCACCTTCTGAGCGCTGGATTAGAGATCGGCACTGCTGCACCCGATGGCATTCTGTGCTTTGGATGGAGCCCAGGGCTTCCTGTGTGCTAAGCCAAGGTTCAACCAACTGAGTCACAGCAGCCCCTGGCCTGATGACTGCAGAGGGAGTCGTCTGCCCCTTCCATTGTGGTAGCGACTGTCCGCTTGTGGCATGCGCTGACCCAGACAAGCTTACAAAAGAAAGAGAATGAATTAAAAGGGCTCTCCCTTTGTCTAGTGAGGCAGGGAGCGCTTTGTTTTCCAATGGTGCCGTGGTACACGCATACCCACAGACTCTTGCTGTTTTGAAACAGGGTGTCAAACTGGCAGCAATCCCCCTGCCTCAGCCTCTGGAGTGCTGGGATTCCAGGGATGAGCCATCACACCCACCTCTTAAACTCTTGATCTGTGGATCAGAGCTGAAACTAGATCCTCATTCAAATGCCAGGCCTTTAACCTCAGCCAGGAAGAAACTGCAATTGTTCCCTGGGTGACCTGACTCCTCCCAGTTAAACCTGGGCTTCAGGGCAGCAAACCCCCTGTCTCATCCCAGGCAAAGGGCGCCTCTCTCCTTCCGGGAACTTCTAGTCACAGGACTGACAGGGAGAAACGGCCTGGGAGGGGACTTGAAGGGCACCAAACAATAACGGGACTAAGCATGTTACTTGGCCCTCCCCATCCTGTAGGAGAGGAACGCCAGCTCCAGCCAGCTTACATGAGAAGATGCGTCAGCTGGAATTGCAGGAAGTGCCATGGGATTGGCTCACAGCCTGGAAAAGGAGACCAGACCCCATCATACTGTCCCTCCTGTCCCTGCAGAAGACAGCCACCATCAGCTCCTCTTAGAAAAACCCCCCAGGACTGCAGCTGGGGAAGCCCTGGCAGTTCTGGAACTCGCTCTGTAGACCAGGCTGGCCTCAGCCTCAGAGATCCGCCTGCCTCTGCCTCCTGAGTGCTGGGGTTAAAGGTGTGTGCCGCCACCGCCCGGCTAAGAGACGGCTCAAGGTTTAAAGAGCTTGCTGTACTTGGGGAAATTTGGGGGAACCGGTTCATTGCCACCCATCAAAACACCATATTAGGCTAATTTATTACAGAGAAGTCTCAAAGGGCAGAGCCCAGGATGAAGACAGTCGGATGGGAAACTGAGAAATGTGTATCAGGCTGCAGACTACAGATCAGCTCTTTCCTGGGCCTGAAGGAAGAAGTCTGCTTTTGAGCCCACAGACAGACAGAAATCTCAGGGAAGCAGAGACACTGTTTGCCTCTGGGTCAGTTAGAGAGATCCCCAGTGTGCAGACTCATCATACCACACGCGGGACCCGGAAACAGCTGGAAACCATGGCTCAGATTCACACAAGCAACCCATGCAGAAAGACCAGTAAAGCAAAGGGCAGGCGGACAGTGACATCAACTGCCACCAGAGTCGATGGCCTCCGTGTGGCAGGGGATGCTCATCCCGGCCTGAATTCCCGACCCCTCTGTGCGGGTCACGGCAGGAAAGGGGTGGCCCTTCATGTAGGCCGTTGAGAGACTCCACTAACAGATGCACGTACGAGGAGGTGGGTGTGGGTGTGCAGAAGTGGCCAGTGATGTTGCTGGCCCTTAGGGCTGCGACATCGGGAGTTGACACATCCCCTAAATGGTCCAGGACAGGAGAAACTTGGACAGGTTGTGTGGATGGGGCAGTGGGCAGGAGAAACTGAGTCTTAATGAGAGGAATGTGGCCAACCTGTGGGAGCCATTGAGGAGAAACCGGGGCAATGGACACTTTGGCCAGGGTAGTGCCTATCAGAGCCCACCAGAAGCCAGAGGGCACTTAAGACATTCCTCCCCGGAAGACCACCAAACAGGATGAGGGATGGCAGAGGGTGGTCTCCATAGAGGCAGCAAGTCCACTCGGAAGGAAGATATGTGACGTGTCGCGTGCTGAATTCTGGCCACAGACACAGGTAGAGATGATGGAGCCTTCCCATCCTCACAGGTTCTCCTCTCCACCTGCTGGCTCCTGGCGGCCCTGAATGAGCTTTACGTGGCTGAGAAACAAGCAGGCTGCCTGACTCCCGCCAACATGATCATCGGGTGACAGGTGACAGTGTGGAAGCGGGGTTTTGGTGTGGGCGTGTCTCCCTGCCTGCAGAGTGGGATGGATGAATGAGGATGTCAGAGATACCCCCCTGCTCAAAAGAAAGGCACAGCAGCCCAGGCTAGCCTAAAACTTGCCTTGTAACTGAGGATGACCCTGACCTTCTGCCTCCAACTCTCGAGTGCTGGGCTGACAGATTTATGCCTCAACACTTGGTTTATAAGGACTGAACCCAGGGCCTCCTGAGTGATGGATGAGATCTCTACCAACTGGGCCACATATCCAGCCCTGTGTCTCCATTTCGCTGGCGACCTTCTGCCCCTGGCTCAGGTCGGACTTGATGTCAAAGTCCTCTCTCTCCTTTGGGACTGATAAGGCCTGAGTTGGTGAGTCACCATCTGTCAAGAAAACACAGCCTTTACCGCCAATCACTCTCAAGTTCAACTAGGGTAAGGTGGGCTGTTCTGAAGTTTGCAAGCGTCCTGGGTGACGGCAGGATGATGGACCCTGGAGCTCCAGTGGTGTCTCTGATCTTTGTTCTCCCTGGGGAGTCCCTGATGCTGGGGGATCGATGAGTTAGTCAGGTGCCTCAGAGGCCCTCTGGTGATTCACATGCCTCGGGCATCTGCAACCCTCCACCCCAGAGCTCTGACGGGCATCCCCATCCCAGCCCCGAGCTGGGAACCTGAACTTGGCCTTAGGGCACGTAACCCGTGACTGAGGGGAATGGCGTCTTGCTCAGAACTGCTGGGATTTCAAGGGTCACAACAGTAGCGGGGGACTTTCCAGGTGCTCCCTTCCCCAGGCTCTGTATTTCCTTAATTGGGATGTCAATCAACTTATGGAAACTGGCTTTGTTTACTCATCCACTCATCTCCTGTGCAGGAGACAGAGCGAGGCTCTGTAGCAGGAATTTTAAAAGGTCTTATTAATTAAATCAAATCTGAGGCCAGTTATTGAGGTGAACACTGGAAGATCAGAGAAGCAGAACAAGCCACAGCTAACCTCACCTGGCCAACGTCTCAGCTGGTCCTGTTTCCTCAAACTGGAAGCCTCTGTGTCCTCATATCCGAATGGCTCTCAGCTGAACTGTGCTGCTAGAAAGCCTGAAGCTTAACCAGCCAAATGCTCCTAGTTTCTGCTCCTCACTCCTTATATACCTTTCTGCTTTCTACCACCACTCCCTGGGATTAAAGGCTCGCTTTCTGGGATTAAAGGCGTGAGTCACCATGCTTGGCTGTATCCTTGAACACAAGGATTTCTGTCTCTGGAATGCTAGGATTAAAGGTGGTGTGCTACCACTGCCTATCCTAAGTATCTAGTGACTTTTCTGTCCTCTGACCCCAGATAAGTTTATTAGGGTACACAATATTTTGGGGAACACAATACCACCACAAGGCTCTGTGAGCTACACCCCCTGCCCATGGTTTTTTCGAAAGTGATTCTGTATGCAGCCCAGGCTGGCTTCAAATTTACAATCCACCTGCCTGAAGTGTGAGCCCACAGAAATCTATTTAATAATTTATTAAGGGTGCAGGGAAATACAGACTACTAATACAGAGCAAGGAGATGTCGGTGCTGATCCTGCTCGTCCAGCTCCCACTGTCCTATCCAAGGAAGATGGGGACCAACCACAAGCTGCTCCATGCCGCTTGAGCCCCCAAAGAGAGAGCATGACCCCTATGCCTCTGCTTTTAAGTGGTCACATGTGCAGGCAAGGCCGTGCCCTAGGGCTTTCTACCTCAAAGCCATTGGCTGAATGGAATAAATTCCACAGCACTTCTCCTTTTCTGTCTAAATAAAAGGACTCTAATACTAACACAAAACTATATACAATAGGAATAATTGCCAAGTATTGTCCAGAAGAAAAGGTAATAACATAAACAAAAATGGAACTACAACCAACAAGAACAAGCAAGAAACACATACTAAATACCCAGAGATTTTAATATTACAGAGATTACTCCAATAGCTGTCCTAGCCTGAAGAATCTGAATCTCATACCTGATGTGCTCTTGGCTAAGATATGAGAGGATTGTAACTGTAACTATCTAGTCTTGAACTCCATCAAAGACCTGAGAAGGAAAATAATTTTTTGTTTGTTTGTTTGTTTGTTTTTCAAGACAGGGTTTCTCTATGTAGCTTTGGAGCCTATCCTAGAACTTGCTCTGTAGACCAGGCTGGCCTTGAACTCACAGAGATCCACCTGCCTCTGCCTCTGGAGTGCTGGGATTAAAGGCGTGCGCCGCCGCCGCCGCCGCCGCCGCCGCCGCCACCACCACCCGGCTGAAGGAAAATAATATAACCTGAGTGAGCAGGAAGTGCAGGCAGGCAGCTGCCGAAAGTGTAAGAGATGACAGAAACAGCTGGACAGTCACCCAAAGTTTCTCTGCAATGTTCAGGCATCCACTTTTGGCTACAGGCCTTGAATATCTGATAGACCATTTTCAGAAGCAGAAAATTTTAAAAGACTGTCCTACCCTGTCTTGGCAAGGTTCAGCAGTTGCTTTTCCTTCTGTCCTGCTCACCCAGACTGGACAGCGTGCTTACTGTCAGCAGTCGAGGCAAGGGCAGTTCTCTGCCCAACAGGTCACTTTTGCCAAGAAGATGAATTCCACATGGAATGTCTTCTAAGCCCAACATCTTCTCGGGAATAGATTGGTGCTACCAGGAGCAATTGTGTCTCATGTCAACAGAATTCTAAGTTATTAAAACATTTAAATGCCATATTCTCTGGGTCTTTGAAGTGTTTGAAGATTGCCTATCCATCTAAAATATATCTTCATTTACCTAGAAAACCTAACTAACATGACTATAAGTTTGACAAACATGGGTGACTATTGACCTGTAATACTTATCAACCTATAAAGCTTAAAGTCTAAAGCTTCACATTATAAAATAAACAATCTCTAAACAGATGTACAGCTTAAGGACAATGACCTTGAAGTTGTGACAATGTACGAAAATATCATAATCAGAGGTAGAAATGTATAGAGCAATATGACAAAAATATCCTTAGTTTGCATCAATATACAAAATAACCTAAACAGAAGTAGAACATACATTCAATATGGCAAAAATAACTTTATGTCTATATCAATATACAAAAATATTTTAAACATAAGTAGGAACATATATACAATATGACAAATATAATT